GGTTGAATGACAGCATTTGCAGCTGGATGTAGACAAGAGGACATTAGTTTCATACTTCTCAGTCCCTCTTTCAGTTCATAGGTCCACATATCATGTACTTCCCCATTTTCTGGTTTTACGCAGCTCTCTGGGGGCTTGCTACCAGAGTAATAAAAATCTCATTTAAAAATTCTGACCTTCTTCCCCACTCTCCATGCTCCTTGCTAGGTCTGTGCTCTTGGGGTGGAGGGGATCTTCTGTCTTGGGTGACCTCACTAATCTGTTTTGCAGTTTAGTAGCAGGTAACTGAAGGCACTGGGCATAGGAGAGGTGGGAAGGAGAAGAGAGCAGTAGGAGACTGAGCAGTTGAGAAAGGAGCCCTTGAACCAGGCGAGCATGTGAAGCTCCTGGGCAATGCCCCTGTTAGCCGAATACAGCCTGACAGCCCAGGACAAGGAGTCGCAGTCCCAAAGCCCTCCATGAATCTCTCCTGTCCTGTCGTGTTTGGCTTCTCGCATTTAAAGTCGCTCAGCTGTCAGAACAATTTTTCTCTTGCCTATGCTCCATCTATAATTCATTATGAAACCCAGAGAGGTGAAGCTGTTGGTTTTTCCCACTCTTCCTCCTCTGGAAGCCGTAGGCTGAGCGTGGTTTGCAGCAGGACATGAATGAAACTGCTCTAAAACCCATAAGCCAAGGGGAAGGTGGCGGGAAAGGGACACGCTGCCATCTCCTGCTGGGCCACCAGGCCACAGCGTCTGGCTCTCGCAAGCACAGCCTATATGTGCATCACCATAAGCTCAGGCAGGTCTTTGCTCAGAAAATCCAGGCCAGATCCTGGACCTGAAGTTCATTGGGTCTTTCAGATCCCAGGCTTCAAAGATGTTCAGGTCTCAGTCCAAGCTTTTGCAGCAGCTTCCCCACTAGTTAAAATTTACATTCCATGTGCTCCCCAAAGTGGCAGCCTATGTATCTGCTTCACTCCACATAGAGGTGGGACCAAATTTGCACTTGTCCATCATACATTCCCCTCATCATCAACTCAGGCTGAACTGCCTCAGCTCTGCTTTATCCCTGCAACAGTTGCAAGCAAAAACAACACATTATTTACCATAACAGTGTGGGTCATGCAATGAAATATCTGTTGTTCTGAAACCGCAAACATAATTGATCATTTAAGTGCAATTTTGAGGAAATGGCTACAGGTGTTATTTGTCAGATGGGTTCTAATAATAGCAAATATTGATGTCTAAAAAGCAGAAAGAATTTCCCACAAGAAGGAGAAATTTTATCCAGAATAGTGGAAGGATTAGTTTTTTGAAGTGATAGTGACTTTGAAACACAAACACAGACTGTTTTCAGTTTGCCATGGATGAAATTACCAGATTTCTTACTCAGATGTTCCAGGCCCATTTCTCTTACTCTTATTTAGAGTTCAGCATCTCCAGGAGCTTGTATGGAAATATCTGTGGAAAGGGTGTATGGAGATATCTGTGGAAGAAATCTTCATCTTACAAGATCATCACATAGGAAAATCATTAAAAAAAAAAACAAACCACAAACCAAAACCAGTTCCATTGACCATTATTCTGTCTCAGCAATGTCTTTCTGCAAGGTTCAACTATTTGAGTCTGACAGCCTTCCACCTTCCAGTGGTGGAGGTAGGACCTTTTCCAGCCCAACAGATGAAGGGCCCCTTGTGAACTCCATCTATAGCAACAGCTCTGTAACATCCAGCTCTGAAGCACCCTCGCAAGAGCCACAAATCCCAGCTCCCGAAAGGAGAGATTCACCAGGGGGCAGCACAATATCACTTTTTATTGTAAAAGCAGGAGTTAATCATTTCAGCTGTCTGAGAGCTTTTGGAAATTAGCTGCTCGTTGTTCCATCTTTATCATTGCAAGTAAGTTTCTCTTTAAAGCTAGCCTCTGTAGCAGCTCCAAAATCCAAGGTATTAGGCATACATTAATATTTTACAGTCCAGGCATTCACCTAGCAGAATAAGAAGGAGTCCAGACCATTGTGTTTTCAATGTGTCTCTCTGGCAGGTACCTGCCCAGGGTTGGTTGGGGCAGCTGATGGGTACTGGTCCCGATTCAATTACTTCAGAAACTCTCCTGTGTTAAGGGCACCAACCTGAGTGAATACTATTTCAGCCTCATCTTTTGGGAGGCATTAAACAGAAGGAGTAAGCCCTCTGATATCACTACATGAGAAGGGTTCACAGAGGGTGAATGCAGACTCATAGAATCATAGAATGGCCTGGGTTGGAAATTATCTTAAAGATTGTCTAGTTCCAACCCCTTGCTGTGGGCAGGGACACCTTCCACTAGACCAAGTTGCTCAAAGTCCCATCCGACTGGGCTTTGAACACTTTCAGGGATGGGGCATTCACAACTTCTCTCGGCAAGCTCTAACAGTGGCTCAACTGCCCTCTCTGTAAAAAAATTCTTCCTAATATCTAAATAAAATAGCTTCCTATTACCCTCTTTCAGTTTGAAGCCATTGCCCCGTGCCCTGTCACTGCATGCCCTTGTAAAAAGACTCTGTCTGGCTTTCCTGTAGGTCCCCTTTAGGTACTGGGGAAGGCCAGGGTTTTTTCTTTTATATTGACTTCTGGTTGTCCTGTATGCTGCACAGCTTCTAGGTCCTCTAGCACTTACACCAAACTCTTCCCTTTCAAGGAGCTAAGAGGAGTCACTGGTCACATCTTGCCTGCTCAGCTTCCTTTATGGAGGGCTTCATCTGTCATCAGTCCATTCCTAGTTATTACTCTGTTCTACACAGGTAACTGGTGTCTCCAGTGGTTGCCTCCCCTGGTTCAAGTGCCACTGTACTTTTCTGTCCTTTTCTGACCTCTTTCTCTCAACTTACAGTCAAAGCAATTCTTGCTCTTTTCCTGTAAATTAACTACATCTTCTGTCTCAGTCGTTCCCTTTGCTATTTTGGCTTTTGCCAGGTGGGATGCCTCATGTCTAGCATCAATCTCACACTTCACTCCTGACATCATACGTAGAACTCCCTTGACTGTCTCTCTTGATCTCAGTCCTTTTGAAGTTCAGTCTGAACTCCATCTGCTCCTGCTCATCCCAACACTTCCTACCTCTGTACTGAAGTCTTCAAAGATGCAGCTTTTCCATGGGGCTGCTCCCCATGTAGCCTTAGCTTTCCTTAGCTCAAATATTATCTTTATTTAAAGGCCAGGAGCCTTAAGAATATATATTTAGATTAAAAGAATAATTTTTCCCACCATAGTAGCTTATGTTATACTGCTTAGTCTTCTGAGAGGAGTATAGTATTGTTCTTCAGAGTAGGTACAAAATTATGAACGTAGTAGAATTATATAAATATCTTTCAAGGCAGCTCTGTGTCTGCTTTAAAAGGAAATAAATATGTGTTTCTGTTTTAAGAAAATAATTTTTAAATCCCTATTCTTTTTCTTATACTTTTATTTGCCCAGTATTTTTGGGGGGAAACAGTTTCTTTTTTATTTGAATTCATTTTTATTGCTTGGGAAGACTAAGGAAGAAAAGACAACAAAAAGGTCTTTGAAAATTCACAAAAAATAAAAGTTGAAAAGAAAAATATTTTCTGTTCAAAGCCCTTAAAAAAGGTTTGGAGTTAAAGGCAGTTAAAGGCAGCCAGCACAGTGTGCTTTGTAATGGGTTTTGCCATCTTTTGTTTGTTGCTTCCCATTTCAAGGTATATCCATGCCATTTATATCTAAAAGAAAAAAAATTAAAAAGCTTTATCCATTGTAGATTAATTAGTAAGAGTTGCTGCTTCTTGGAAGGAGTCCAGAAGTCTGATCCTGTATGGTCAAAACCAATGAGCCCATTTTATGCAGGAACAGAAATGTCACTAGTAATAACTACCCAGTCACATAACTTAGTTGTTAAGTATGTTCTCTGATTCACCAGATTTCCTTTGATCGGAATGGTCTTTTTCTGGAAATCAATTTTTCTGGTGAGATTTTAATAACGAAATGGGGATATGTTTTTTGATGCAGGTATACCTAACTGAATTTGCTGTTACAAACTATGCTTCTGCTGCAAAGAAAAAATATAGGTACATACATATTTCATTATAAAAATATATCTGTGAAAGTATATGCATTAAAGTAAGTCTTAAAGTCTGGCTGAAAGCCTGTAAATGGACTTTGCATAACCTCTTCCTAAATTACGGAGGAACTGATAACTTCAGAAGTGCAGAATGAAAGACGTCTTTTTAATTTTGCCATGTCAACAATGTATTACATTAAAAATATGTAAAGAATTCCAGAATATATTGTATACCAAAACTTATATCACCTTAATTGTGTTTACCTGGAATGTTTCTCCAGGGGCTGCTCTGGTGTAGCAAAAGCTGTGTTTATTCAAGTTGTTAAAAACCACCCTGTCTACTTTTCTCTATAGTTTTCTTAGACTCAGGTGAGGAGAAGCAAAAAAAGAAAGTTCGATATTGTTACTCTCCAGACATACTATTAAGAAAATACAACTATATCTTACCTGCCACAAGAAAGGTTTTTGTGGTATTCCTTTCAAAGACTTATGTAGATTATTTGCCATTACACTTTAAGCCTCGAATTACATGCAGGCAGGAGACATTGAGAGGGAAGAAGCTGCCTGCTGTAGCTCTCTTTTTGGCTTTTTAAATTTGCAGAAGTTGTAGTTGGTTTTGAAAGCTGACTTTCCAATGAAATTAGCAATATCACCACAAAATACATTTTTTCCCTCAAAGTGGGTTTATAAACTTTTTCCTGAAAATACAAGTACAGAGATACTGTACCTTTTATTCACATTGAGAATGTAGATAGGTAGCATCCTGTGTTAATATTTAGCAAATTTGTTCTACATCGACATCAGAAATGTAGCTGAAAATCTCTTTGGCTGGCTGGCTTGTACTTGAAACTGGTTTTTGTAAGATCTGGATTTGAAAATCTCTCCCGCCAGACTTGTAGCTGTCAGGTTCATTATCTTCAAAATTTCTATTAAGCTCTAATGGTGTTTTTCTTCCTGCAGAAACAGAAGGTGCATGCAGCACAGATGCCAGCATTCTCCAAGGAGTAATCTCTTCATCTCCAAGTGACACTAGCTCCTGCTAGTACCATGGGGCCAGAGAGTGGTTTCTTAGGCAGTGGACAGATCCACATCATCCTGTGGGGGAGTTTGGCAGCCATGACAACACTTTTGTTCCTCACCTTCCTCATCTTCCTTTGCTCCAGCTGCAACAGGTAAGGCTCAGGGGCTTAGCACGCAGTAATGGTTCTTGTGTCACTCAGTGCAGAGATTGACAGAGCTTCACTAATAACTAGTTAGCAGGAAATACTGAGGGCTTAGGTACAGAAATAAAAAAAGTACAGTACAAAATCTGTTTTCAGAGCAAAACTGAATTGGAACAGTTCTTTCTAAAATGTATTTTTTTTTCTTTTGCTGTGAAAGAAGTACACTGTTTTGCTTGCTTGGTGGTTTCCGCTAAGATGAAGCCTGGAGCACAGGTGGACACTATTAGCAGATCACACCAATAAGCTGAAACTGAGAACATTAGGTAGGCTGAACAGGACCAAAAAAGTATAGATAAAAAGGAAAGGAAAGCGGATATTATGTATTTCAGCTTTGCTTTGGCTATTCCTGAAGTCTAGGGAATTGATCCTGCCACTCAAGCAAAACTGAGGAAGAATCAAGTGGTGATACTAAATAATGTCTTATACCTCATCCTTATTTTCTTCTCCATAAGAGAGTTCGATTTCACCAATACAGGCACTTCTACTGACTTCATTGATTCACATTTCAAGGCCCCTTTATGACATGTAAGCTGTGCCCTGCTGACTGCACAGGGGAGCTGGGCAGCCTGCACTCCATCCATGGTGCCCTTCCATCAGGCCAGACCAGCCAGACCCTTCCCTGCGAGGAGTGGGACTGCTGTGGTCCATACTGCTGTATGCTTTTACAAGCACAGCTCAATTAGCCAAGCCTATGGGGGAAAAAAAACCCTATCCATGATTCAGTACAGCAGCAAAATCTGTGGTTTGGATGCTTATGCCTATAGGAGCATGTGCTTTCACCCTTCACCGTTGAGAGCACTGAGGCAGCTGTGCGGCCACTCAGAAGAAATGCTTTTATAAGCCGTTCGGTGATATTTCAGTATCTTCCTATTACCACAGTTTCCAGTAATATCTGAGTAAAAAACAGTAGAAATATATCTTTTTAATTTATTTAAAAGTCAAAACCCACTTTAAAAATTCTTTAGCCCAGAAACATTGCATTTAGGTACTATGTTTGATCTTAAAGGCCTTTTCCAACCTAAATGACTCCATGATTCTGTGTTTTGTCTTGTAACACACCAGTCGTTGAAAAATCTCTGGAAAGATGAGTCAAACCACTGAGTATGTGTTTGCAATTACAGATATACACTGCCAGAAACATTCTGGTGGTGTTCTTTTATAAATTCATGTGTTGCTAGTCTGGACATTATTTTTCATTTCAGGTCATTCTGTAGGGCAGGTTGTTTACACATAAATGCAATTATACAAAATTTCTTCCTGGCTTACTCTTCAAAAATGGATGAGAACATGGAAAACTGAATAAAATCTGTTCTAAAATATCAGAGTCAGAAATACTTACAGAGAGGAAATTAAGCATTTAACTTCCGCTGCTCTGCATTGGTGCAGCCTTACTTGCTGTTTTCTTATTTCCCAATTAGGTAGAATTTTAATAGTTGCTAATGTGGAAGTACTTTAGAAGAAGACTGCAGACTTTAGAAGAAGCACAGGTTTCATATTGTCACTATTTTCTCACCTTTTTACTTGCCTTTTCATCTAGGGGAAGTACTATTATTACTTTAAGCTTATTATTAGAATATTTCTGAATAAGAGCTGTATTTCTAAAATTGTAAAAACTGGAAACGTGATCCATACTTTGAGTCCTGTGAAGTAGCCCGTGATGCAGGATTCCTTTAAAAATGTAGAGTTCTGCTGCTATGAAATTTGTAGGCCTTTTTGAACTCTTTATGCTTATTATTAATTCTAACTAGCATTCTGAGTGGGAGTAGGCTGGATATTTTGGCCTTTTCTAATTCTTCATAGGATAAACACCTTTTAATGGCACAGTTTAAGGAACTCCCCAGGTAGTCTATCAGCAGAAAATGTGTATCTGAGCATTTCAGATATGATTAAATTGAATATAATAATATTTTTATTATCATAGAATCATAGAATGGCCTGGGGTGGGAAGGACCTTAAAGATCATCTGGTTCCAACCCCTCTGCCATGGGCAGGGACACCTTTCACTAGACCAGGTTGTTCAGAGCTCCATCCAATCTAGCCTTGAACACTTCTGGGGATGGGGCATTCACAGCTTCTCTGGGCCTCTTGTTCCAGTGCCTCACCACCCTCCCAATAAAGAATTTTTTCCTAATATCTAATCTAAACCTACTTTTTTCAGTTTGAAGCCATTGCCCCTTGTCCCATCTCTACATGCTCTGGTAATTATTTACATTATCTTGTAATTATCAAGAGTCACTCTTCACTTTGATCTTAGACCGAATGAGAAAAAGCTTTGTGTGTGTTTGTTGTACCTCTTCAGTTTTGTTTACCACCATCCTGCCTTGATGGTGTCCTTACATAGAGGTCATACCAATCCTTGTAATAATTTTCAGTTATTCCATTTTCAATATTATTGTGAATTGCAGTTCTGTTTCCTGCAGCTGTGTAAGGTCTATTAGTGATTGGCATTTGTATATTAGCATAATTTATAGTAACAGTTCATATGCCTTTTTCATTAAGGGAAAAGAAGGCCAGACATCAGAATGGAGATCATGAAAATCTGATGAATGTGGTAAGTGTTTGTTTCTGGCAGCTTGTGTCTGTCTTGTGGTTGGTTTGTACCAAGCTCTTTGCAAAATACCACAGATTAGAAAATAGCTCAGGAATTTCTAGGGGGTTGAGCAAGGGAATCTTTAAAAGTTGCAGAACAGGAAGAGGAGGAGAACTTACGTAGGTCCTGATAATCTGCGCTTTCTCAATGCTCTTTCTTCCACTGTTGTACTTCAGATTTCCTGCCTTTCCTTCACTCTATTTGCAGTGAAAGTGCAGTGTACCCTTTGTTAGCTGCTCCCTCCTCAGGGGAGATCACTCTGGACATACTTTCTTTTGTTTGCTTTGTTTGACTCTCCTGCCAGTAATACCTATGAGTCAGAGCTCCAGAGATCAGAATGAAATTTGTTGGATGTCTATTCATGCGAACATTTATTCTGATCCAATGGTCAATATTTGTGTTGCAGCCTTCCGACAAGGAAGTTTTCAGCCATTCCATTACAAGTTCGGCTACAGAGCCCCCCCCAAACAGTGAACAGAACGGGGCACTCAGCAACGGTGAGGGTGAGTAGCAGCAGCCCCTGCGGGTGGGATGGGTGAGCTGCACCATCCCAGCGCTTGCAGCTCCCACCTTAGCTGCACACTGGTGATCCCTCCAGTCTCAGGTTTCTAGCCTTTGTGCTTTCCAAGCACACAGTTGTGCCATTTGTCTGAATCCTCTGCTCACCTCTGAAGGTCTGACACTAGATCACACAGAACTTAATAATAATAATAATAATGGCCCATCTTCGCGAACGAAGATTTTGGGGAAAGGTCTTTTTACCTTTCCAGCCTGCGCAATGGATTTTTTAGGTGAGACACAGCATGCGCTGAACTGAGCCCACCCTTTAATCCTAAGGTTCATCTGCTGGGGCCAAGCAAGCTTGGACAATGGCAGTGAGGTCCTCAGGACGTAGGTTTGTTTAGAGTGACCTTCTCATAGATGGATGGCCACACAGGGCTAACGACCTCCATCAGGCCAGGAGACCGGGGAATCGAACCCGTGGTCGCAGCAGTGAAAGTCCTGCACGCTAACCACTAGGCCACCAGGGGTCTCACACAGAACTTACGACCAAGTTAAAAAGTGCTGTGAACTCATTTGCCTTGCTGGTAAGTCGATGGAGATGATCATCCCATGGAGATAATGGTGTTTTGGGCTGCATGTCCACTGCTGCCCTCCACCCCAGGTCCCAGTCCTCCACGCCAGCCAGCACTGGAAAGGTGCTAAGGTCCTCCCCTGGGCCACCAGGCCTCAGCCACAAAGCCATAGCTGCAGAGTGACCAGACCATCAGGCAAACAATGTGACATTCTGTAATCTTGGCAAACCACAGAACTGAGATAAAACCAGAAGATGTAGTTGTACCTTAGAGCTTCAGAAATGCTCCAGGAGACTGTGGAAATACTTCACGTGCTCCAGGGACTACAGCTTGAGATCATAGTCCTGCACTGTGAGAGGCTGTCACTTATATTTTTGTATTTTAGAAAACAGGCAACATAAATAGGCTTCCTTTTTTTTTCCTCAGTCTTTGCTTTGCTGAAAACTCAAAATGATTCACCCTGAAGTATCACTGGAAAATATTTTACTTAGCTGCACCTAAAAATAAACTCACTCTAGCTCAGAGCCACTGGGAGCCAACTGTTGTCTTCACACTAGGCACCAACACCATGGGCTGCACTCCAACTTACAGCTCACCTCCTCAGCTCCTTCTGTAACCAGAGGCTAAGCTATTCAGTCTTTATCCCTCAGACATAAGTATCCAAAGATGTTTTTAACTTAGTTTTTGCAGCTAATTGCTGCTTCTCTCCATTGGCTTGTGTATGTAGGTGTGTGGTTCCCAGAGGCACTTGGTGCACAGATCAAAGCCCTGCAGAAGGGAAGGAGTTCTCTTTACCATGAGTCACCACATGTGCAGCTGTCAGAGTTGCTGTCAACCAGCAGACAGTTTTCAGACTGTCTCATATTACTCAGCTTACACTCTGTGTAACATCCCTTCTGAATAATAGGAACCGATGCGCTTTAGTTTCTCACTTATATTTTATGCACTCTTTTTGTTAATAGTTCTTTTTATTACTGTTTCTGCTAGCTTTTTGAGTAGGGGCAGGGCTACAGAAGCAGAACCATCAAGCAATGTGTTTTTTTACTTTACCCAGCCTGCCAGCATTGTCTTATCTATGCCAACCCCTTGGCTACACCAACCATTTTTGTGCTACTACCCATAACCACAGAAGCACAGAAACATGAGCTCTTATTACTTCTGATTATCCCCTCCAGGATGAATGGGGGGGGTGTGCTGTCTGGGTTCTGTGGTGGTGCTCTGCACAGCACAGAAATCCCTGAAGCAAGGGCCAGAGAAGCAAAACATGTTCCAGCTTCTCCAGGGTGGTTCCTGATGTCCTCCAGAAAGTCTACAGGCGTCCCAGGCAGTGAGTAGGACAACTTGCCTATCTCCTGTTCCTCCCCGTGTTTTATGCAGGAGCTAAGTAAATAAAGGAGGATGTTTTCCTTCTCCAATCTCCCATTCAGACAGTGATTACCATCTTATACCTCCAGTTCCATCCTGAGTTTTGCAGTCAGGGTTTGGCTCCTTGCAGGTGCTGACCACATCTGCATACCCTAAGCGTAAGAAAAAGCAACATCCATGGCAACCGCCAAATCAAGGGTATTGATTGGTTTGGCAACACTTTATGTCATCATGTCAAACACATGGAGGACATGGAAGAATGGGTTGATTTTGTTGAGAGAGTACTGTAGGAACCTAACAGTAAAGCTATTCAGAAGAAGTAAAGCTATTCAGAAGAAGAAAAGAAAAGCTATTCAGAAGTGGTTTTTTATAGAAATAGTGTAAGGTGAAGTTACATACCATACACTACCTGAAACATGCTTGTATATGCCCATGTATACATCCCTGAATGCATGTAAATGTCATACATGTGCAGTGTAAGATGAGAAGCCCCACAGATTTCAGTCCCTAATACCCTCTAGTGATAGTGACACATGGCCCGCTTCTGGGGCTTAAAGCAACATGTTCTGCCTAACACTATGTTCTGAAGTCTAGTCTTCTCTTTTGTGCATATGGCCAGCTTGTTAGTAGGTTGTCAATCTACATTATGTGCTGCGAGACTAAGAGAATTATGGCATAGCCTTCCGGTGAGGAGCTTCTGGTGTAGCATGCAGGGAGTCTGGCTGTGGCAGGGCTGAGCGAAGTGCAATTCCAGTGAGAATTTGGCCAGCATGTTAAACAAGATGATGGATGGGTAGGGAGGAAACAAGAACACTTTCCTTTTGATTCCAAAGAATAGGAAAATGGAAACAGGAAAATCTAGCAAGGATTTTTTTTTAAATCTAGCAAGGATTTTTTTTTAAATCAGCAAGGATTTTTTTTCAAGACACTTGGTTTGAGGCTTCCCACCTGTTTCCCATCTGAGACTCCTGAGCACTTTGTAATCATTCAGTGAAACTGAGTACAAGGCATCTGAATATCCATGCACACCTGCACCTACCCTCCTTGTCCTTGTTTTTACAGTAAATGCTGTTGCCATATAATGTGACTTTGGGGTGTACAGACTGTTATAAATGTTGTGAGAAATATATTTTAGCAGTAGAGTGCAGAAATCTCTGTGACTGAAACTTTTTGATAAACAAAAACCATGGTGACCACTAGACATTTCCAGGCAGTAGTATCATTTATCCTTTCCAATGCATCACAAAGTGATATAGAGAGTACCAAATCGCACTGACCCCTTACTTATGCATTTGTTTGAAATACTTCTTCGTCATTTTCTTTAGTTCTTTCTGAAGACAGTACAACTGCCTGTATCCAGCCTTATGAAGAAGTACAGACATCTGATCTACCAGATCAACAAGATAGTCTTGGAAAGTCTATAAAATGTCACCAGAGCCGGGAACTACCCAGTATTCCCCCTAACACAACCATGGAAACCATCATCTCAGCTAGAAATGCAGAAAATGACCAAGGTCTCGGAATGGAAGGGCCTTATGAAGTCTTGAAAGACAGCTCCTCTCAGGAGAACATAGTTGAAGACTGCTTGTATGAAACTGTGAAGGAAATTAAAGATGTTGGAGCAGTAGTCAGCATGGAAGGGAACTGTAACAGCAAATCAAAGACTTCACTGACAGTTTCTGAAGGTCAGAATCAGATTCCTGAGTGCAGAATTGAATCAGCAGAATATGCATCTGTGGACCGAAATAAGAAGAGTCGCCAAAGTGCTAATTCAGAAAGTCCTCTTGACAACATACCAGATGTAGAGGATGAGCTTCCCCCTCCGGTACCCATGAAACTTCTTGATGAAAATGAGAATGTGCAAGAAAAAGAAGTGGAAGAAGAAGTGACAGAAGGGGCAAGTAAACCAGAGAAGGTAAATACTGCAAATACTTGTCCTCATCAAACAGCCAAATAATGACAGAGAACATATGGGTGGGAGAGGATTTTATTTTTTAGTAACAAAAAATGCCAAGGAAAAAAACAACATTTAAGATGATGCAAGACTAAAGTAGGGAAATATGGAAGTGTATAGGATAGTCTTTGCATTATAGGCATGTACTCATTCTGTTGCAGCCTATGTTTTTGATTGTTGCAGTTATGCATTACATAAAGCTTTTCCCAAATATTATCCTGGAATTACATAGGCAGCCTCTGCTTCTTTTTTTAACATACTTGTGGAAGCTATTACAATGGGTATCTAGTATCTCTGTCAGCATCTATATCTTGTAAAGAATCCCCCTCTTCTTTTTTTCTAATGAAACCACAATTTACAAAAAGGAGAGGAGGGCATCTTTGGTGGATGCCCTGACTTTCGATGTGCCTCCTTTGTTGGGCCACCTTGTCGTTGCTGTGGAAGTGTGCTCAAAGCAACTCTTCTTGTCTCTCTCTGTAGGAGAGAGGGACAGAAAGAGAGAGAGAGATTGCAGCAGTAGGCTTTTATGTTTGTTAAATCCTGTATGTCACATATAAACACAGTAATGAATTTCTACCTGCTGAAATCATGGCCAAAAGTTAAGTTTTCTCAGCAGCTTATTTTTTGTCCCTAGGAACAGTCGTGGTGAAGTCCTTGAAAAATAGAATGATGACATTTTCAACAATTTATTTTCCATCTGTAGTTTTTAACCAGATTTCATTTTAAGGAATGCTTTTGGTTCATTGCATGGACTTTTCATAAGCTGTTGAGTTTGCATTTTTCAGAACTAGTTTAGATATTTTCTTAATTTTGAATAAAAGAACTGTGATTTTAGAAGATTTTTGGTGTCTGAGTCATCAAATAATATTTGGTATTGATGAACATTTCAAAAAAATTCTTTAAGATGCAATTTTTAATGTATACATTTACCTGAAAAATCGTAGCAGAGCTGAGGTATTTTTACTTGTTTCTGGTTGTTCTCTTATTTTAAGTATTTCAGTAATCCAGGCAAAAGGCAAAAAACCACCTTGTTAAATAACTAACTAACCATGTAACCTGTAAAGCACAATAGAGTCCAAATGAATAAACTGAAGACTACTCATAATACAAAAATTGTTTAGCTGGACCCTTCAGTGCACATTCTTACAAATAATGAGCTCATCAAGTAAAAAAATAAGACACGATTGTCAACAATAATCCACCAACATTCACCCCTCCCAGATTCAGGCCATAAGTAATTTCTAATTAAACTTTTAGAGAAACAGATTTCTGTAACAGTGACATTTTTCCTACCAGGTGTGAAAAGACTTGCAGAAAATCATTGTGTTTCCCAGTCACTGATACAAAGGAAAAAGCCTTTGCTGCTCTGTAGCTCCCCAGCACACCATGTATGCAGTGTCAGTAACTGCAAGGAGTGGGAATTGATTAAAATGGTTCAGGTTTTGAAGGATTAATCAAGAGATGACACAGGCAGTCCCCTAAGTGCCAGGAAAAAAAGTGTTTGTCTAATTAAAATTTATTCAGAGCTGAAGCCATCCTGAGTTAAAGCTTTGGCAGCATCAGATCATTCCCGCGCTTGCTGCTGGGTACATGCATTATGCATCGAAGCGTGTGCCTGTCCTGTCCTTGAGAGCTACAGCTGCAACAGAGTTGGAAATGGTAATTGATGGAATATATAAATGTCATTATTGTTGGCATTGTATGGGGAGGTGGTTGTGGAATTGTTTTTCTGTTGTGATCATGATAATTTTCCCCTCTATTTTGCTGCCTCAAACAATGCAGAGCAATGCCTGTTTTTTTCTATGTGGCAACCCAAGCCAAGATGTTTATGGAAATGTATATTGTATTGATAACTCTTTTAGTTAGACACCATAAGTGTTTCTTTTCGCTTCCTCTCCTGTGGGGCTACTTAGCTGCCCTGCCTAACATGACATCTGTATCCCAAACTCTTCAACCTTCTGCCCTAGCCCTGATGAAGACAGTTTGTGTAGAAGTCATGCAAGACTCCATCACAACAATTAGGCTTTGCTTTAATAGGGCACAAAGAAGGGACAGGCAGCCAGGCTGCTTGTGGAACCAAGGCTTGTACCTGCCAACCAAGAGAGAACAGACCATGTCCAAGCTGTTTCAGTCTCACCTTTGAAAAGAGGACAGCCAGGGTGATCCCCAGGCAATGCCAGTTCCTGAAGCACACAAATTTGGGAGAGAGCTAGGTGGACCAAGCCAGAGACCGTTCTAGTATATAGCAGCATGAAATGGATAAAGCATCTTTCTGAGAGCTGGGTGTGCAATAAACAGGTGAAAATTAAGTATCCAAACTGGTTATTGGCTGTGACCCAGCAAAATCTTTTGTAAGACTTTGATGAAGAAGGACACCTTTAATAGCATGAGGCTTCTTACAGGCCTCTATCACCTGCAAAACTTCAGCATAGTTCTTCTAATAAAACTGGAAAAGCAGAACAGTTTTGACTTAGTACTTTCTTTTAATTAAAAAACAAAAAAAGGAAGTATGGATCTCCCTTTTCACCCAGGGCTTTCCTCTGTGCTCTCTGTGTTACATCTGGCTGCTGCCATCTGATTTCAGCCTTGCGCAGCCTGAGCATGGGCAAAGTATCCCTTACAAATGCACCAGAGGAGAATGTTCTTCAGTTCTGCTGCCCGAGTCAGGAGCAGCAGCTGAGCCAAAGAGTAAAAAATCTAGTGCTGTCAAGGAACAAAAGGAAAGTGGAAGGCAAATAAGGACATACGCTGTTTTTCATGCTGCTTTTGAGGTTTCAGGCATAGTTTATAATATTGCTAGGTATAAAATGTTTAGGATCAAATGGGGTTTTTTTCAGTTTCCAAGATAACAATATCCTTCAAAATTGATGTGTCACAGGTTTCACATTTAGAAGAAAGAACACTAGATCCTGGGGAAACAAATACAGGATGGCCAACACCCTGGAGTGTTTTTCAATACTGGAGTGGGAAACTGTAGAAGGGGTCCTGACACATGGTGCTTATAGACATGCTGATGACCGAAAAATCACTGAAGAATTTTGTGAGCACATGCTTGTTTTAATGTGTGAGGATGAAATTAGTAACTTACTCCCCAACACAAAAAATGTCCTGCAAATAAGAAAGACTAAACTGAATTGCTTTAGTGAAGCAGATCTAATACAAGGCCAAAATACATTTGAACTTGTATTATTTTTTTTTATGAGTAAACAAAACACAGGTTAAAGAGCGTGTTCTCCAGACAGTGAGAAAGAAGCAGGAGAATTTTTCAATGTGAGGGAAGCTCCTGGGGAGCAGCAGGCAGACTTCAGTGTACTTTGGGTCATGGTCCTTGTCAGAAGTGCTCGGGAGTTTGGAGCTTGGTATTTACCAGAAGTAAAAATGCCAAGTAAATGAAAGTAGGAAAGAATCTATCATAATAAGCCTCTGTGAAAAAATAAAAAAAGGAAACAAGTTTTGTGTGCCTGGAAGCGGTATTTAATTGACTGTGCTAAAAATAGCTCTACTCCTCCATGTTGGTTTGCACTGGGAGAGGTATGAAGTGTTTTAGGTGGTGAATTTGTGTGAAAGTCCAAAATATGGCCTGTTACAGTGCTGGAAGGCTCCCTCTGAGTCAGTGTGGAGCAGGAGTCCAGCAAAGACTTCTTGCCCCAGGGAGGAGGCACCCCATACCCACGGTGTAGCAGCCAGGGTCTTTGTTGCTGTAAAGGTCCTAAGATGTTTTTCATGAGAGCAAAATGCTTTTCCCCCAACGTTTCATGACCTGTTTTCCACAGAACACTTCACATGCTTGAAGTTAGTCTTGATACAAAACCAAGCCCTCCATCCTTCAGTACCTCTGCTGTGTGACATGGCTCCAGCTCAGGGTGTGCTGCAGCAGGTTCAAGTGGCTGTAAGTTCAGGCTGCTGGAAACCTCTGCACAGTGGCTGCATTCCAGGGGTGGGGAGGACACAGCATCTCCCTGCAGCACTTCCAGCATCCACAGAATGAAGGATAACAGGCATCAGGAAGGTGCCAGCTGAGCATTGTTCTTTTGTCATCTAAAAGTGTATCTGAAAATCCCGTGAAAGGGCAACTGGTGTGTCACAACAGCTAATTTCTAATTGTTCAGAAGCCTTTGCAGGTGCTTCATTAGAAGTGTAAAGGCTGGGATACAGCAGAGCAGAGTTTGTTTTAATCATTACATTATTTTTACCCTTTTCAGGTCAGGACAAGAGCAAATACATTAAAAAGCATTACTGACCTCAGGGCTGTTATCTCCAGAGATGTACTCTAGATATTGGAGATATTATCTACGTAAAATGAACTTGAGAGCAAATGACCATGAAATGTAATGTATTGATTGTAATGGGAGGGTTTTATTATAGGTTTTACACTGTTGATGGGTAATGAGCCTTTTTTTCTTTCTTCCTTTTTTACAGAGGCTTAGTTCAGTGTCTTACAAGTCTCGAGAGGAAGATCCATCTCTTACAGAAGATGAGGTAGGTTTCCTGCATGAAATTCAATAACTAACTAGAGACTATTTTTTAGGCAGAAATTAGCATAAGCTCTGCATGATTAAGCAGAATCTAAGAAAGGTGAAATTTGTTTCAAGGGAAAATGAAAGCCCAAGATTCTCTGCACAGAGTTTGTATTGCCACATTCTTAAAGTCAGAAGTGTTCTTGTGTCTATATCAGGCAAATAGGTTAAAAATGGTGTCGGAAAATAACAGGAGGCCACAACTGGTTGATCATTAGGGCAATTTCTTCATTTGGATGACAAGCTCTACTTAAGAATCATAACCAGCAGCCTTTTTGAAACATATGCTCCACCTTCCTCAAGCAAAGTGTCTGGGTCTCTCAGAAGTAAATGGAAGCACAATAAAAGCACTGGAACATAAACTGTTCTTTAAAATGTGGGTTGATCAAATAAATTGAGGAGATTTAAACAAAGACAGAAAAGTTAAACAGAAATGAGGTTGTTTGTGTTCATCTCCAATACACTGGTGCCATTTGTAAATACGTTC